AGTGTGCAAGTGTGTTGTATTCGAGTTTAACAAAATTGGTTATTGATAAATTAAAACAACGCATAAGTAGGGCCAAGAGCCCGCATACTTCAAACTCCTGTTCCCAGTATAATATTTTAGGGTAACGTTGTAACTTTTGCCAACCACATGATTTCTCTGTTCACCGCGTTGGAAGTCGTGTACTCAAAGGATCATGCTTATTTCTCTCAATAAGTTTAAATGGACTAAACACATCAAAACCCGTACAGGAATTATAAGAGAACCAAAATGCAACCCAACGTTAAGAATTGGGGTAAGCAGAAGTTGTTACTCCAGAACACGAACGTCTTACATTTGGGGTTCCCATATGGAAATTTGTGTGAATTACCCGTCTTGAAATGAAAACGCTTACCCTTACTCACTTACGCCTTCTCATTCAATGAAAGACACTGGGTTGTATCGATTAAGAAATCTTCGGAATTTCTCTTACACGGGTCTAGGTGCCCCCAGCGCCATTGTAGCTGTCAGGGATGTTCGAAGAAACCGCTTTGGAAAAAGTGACTAATCACAATCGTGTACGAACAACCAATAGAAAAGTCGCTGGTACTGATTTACTTATATAAAGCCTTCCCGCAATTTTGAAGGAATGTTTATTGTCTTATATCCGGCTTTATCCTGGCACGTGAAGTTTTCGTGACCCTCTTCGTTCTCTGCCGTCCGATTTTGCGGCTTTATGTTTGGTTTGCTTGGTACACACAAGCCGCATGGCAGTTCGCGAGGAAGAGACGTGATTCTATTCCGGATCTCAGAGATTTGACTACCGTTTTAAATAATGATGGGTTGCTTGTTCTGGACAAAAATCCGGAGTTGCTCGTGAATAGTACTAAGCCGTGGACAAACGTTTTATCGCTACAGACGCAAGTAAATTGCATTTGAAAGTTTACTTTTAGGTCTTTTATAAGTTTCCTGAATACGCGAGCTTCAATTTAGAACACTTATTTCATTTTATGAACCGCCTGGATGCGCCGACAAGTGGCCTGATTTGCTTGGCCTACACCCCGAAAATGGCAAACCTGGTAAATGAACGTCTTTATGCACCTGTGTTATAGTCCTTTCAAACTTTACTGACCCGGTGAGTGCCATGCACGGAACGGATCCCTTCCATGGCAAACCTTGATGACAATCGCCCTACGCTTATGCGACAAGAATAAATCGATCTCAAAAATAGTTGCAGAGGACGTCCTCTGCAACTATTTTTGAGATCGATTTATTCTTGTCATTTGGTTCTGTAGGCACAATCTGGCCAATATTTCCTTGTCATCGTTGACGCAGACCTTGTGCGATCAACCAAACAGATACTTGCAGAGAAGAAGGTGCGAACACTGGGACAGTGCTTTTATTTTTTTAGCTTTCGGTCTCGTACAAGAGGCCGTATTCAGAGATGATGAGCGTTCAGCAACAGTTGGCCGTCTTTGTAATGCGTATTTCGTTTTGAATTACAACAACCGCTCAATTGTTGTTGCGCGCTCATGGTTTCCAAATATGGCTTCCCATACGAGACCGACAGCGTAGAAAAATACAAGTTCTGCCCAGTGTTCACGCCTTAATCTTTGCAACAAGAACCTCAGACTCGCATATTCGTTGCCAAACAGATTTTTAACCGCAC